CAAGGAATTTGCCCACCACGGCAGGAGTGAACTACCGACCTTCCGCTTACTGAGCGGGTGCTCTACCACTGAGCTATAGGGGCTCTTACGAGAGAGCAAGCCGACCGCATTTTCTTCACCTCGATAATACGAATTACAGACCAGCAATCACACAACACACCCTACATCACCTTCTCACATCCTCACACGGTCCTCTTCCCGTCCATACCTTCCAATTCACACCTCGTCGCGATCATGGCCTCCGACCGACCGTGCCGCTCGACAGCAAGCTCCTCAATCCGGGATGGCATTAGCCCCTGGAGAAACTCATGAGTCAGACCAATCCGACACCACAAAGCGGCGACGTATGTCTTCGTGGAAAGCTACGAGGGCAACTGAGTTGGAAATGTGTTTGACTCAGCGGGGAACAGTACGGCAAATGGTGAGCGTTACCAACAGTATCCTGCGCCAAATGAGCAGTGTTGCGCAGAATTAGCAGTGTTGCGCTGAATGAGCAATGTGTGCATGTGCGTGCACAAGGGCAATGTGGCAAAGGGGCAAAAGAGCAAAGACGCCGCGAAGCACGGCTCGCTCACGACCGACACGGAGAGGTATCGGATGTGAAACGATTGCAAGGAATTTGCCCCCAGGCAGGATTGAACTACCGACCTTCCGCTTACTAAGCGGGTGCTCTACTACTGAGCTATAGGGGCTCTTACGAAAGAGCAAGCCGACCGCATTTTCTTCACCTCGATAATACGTATTACAGACCAGCAATCACACAACACACCCTACATCACCTTCTCACATCCTCACACGGTCCTCTTCTCGTCCATACCTTCTAATTCACACCTCGTCGCGATCATGGCCTCCCGACCGAGCGTGCCGCTCGACAGCAAGCTCCTCAATCTGGGATGGCATTAGCCCCTGGAGAAACTCATTGAGTCAGACCAATCCGACACCACAAAGCGGCGACGTATGTCTTCGTGGAAAGCTACGAGGGCAACTGAGTTGGAAATGTGTTTGACTCAGCGGGGAACAGTACGGCAAATGGTGAGCGTTACCAACAGTATCCTGCGCCAAATGAGCAGTGTTGCGCAGAATTAGCAGTGTTGCGCAGAATTAGCAGTGTTGCGCTGAATGAGCAATGTGTGCATGTGCGTGCACAAGGGCAATGTGGCAAAGGGGCAAAAGAGCAAAGACGCCGCGAAGCACGGCACGCTCACGACCGACACGGAGAGGTACCGGATGTGAAACGATTGCAAGGAATTTGCCCCCAGGCAGGATTGAACTACCGACCTTCCGCTTACTAAGCGGGTGCTCTACCACTGAGCTATAGGGGCTCTTACGAAAGAGCAAGCCGACCGCATTTTCTTCACCTCGATAATACGAATTACACACACCAGCAATCACACAACACACCCTACATCACCTTCTCACATCCTCACACGGTCCTCTTCCCGTCCATACCTTCCAATTCACACCTCGTCGCGATCATGGCCTCCGACCGACCGTGCCGCTCGACAGCAAGCTCCTCAATCCGGGATGGCATTAGCACCTGGAGAAACGCACGAGTCAGACCAATCCGACACCACAAAGCGTCGACGTATGTCTTCGTGGAAAGCTACGAGGGCAACTGAGTTGGAAATGTGTTTGACTCAGCGGGGAACAGTACGGCAAATGGTGAGCGTTACCAACAGTATCCTGCGCCAAATGAGCAGTGTTGCGCAGAATTAGCAGTGTTGCGCAGAATTAGCAGTGTTGCGCTGAATGAGCAATGTGTGCATGTGCGTGCACAAGGGCAATGTGGAGAAGGCGCAAAAGAGCAAAGACGCCGCGAAGCACGGCACGCTCACGACCGACACGGAGAGGGACAGGATGTGAAACGATTGCAAGGAATATGCACCCAGCCAGCATTGAACTACCGAGCTTCCGCTTACTAAGCGAGAGCTCTACCACTGAGCTATAGAGGCTCTTACGATAGAGTCAGCTGACCGCATTTTCTTCACCTCGATAATACGAATTACAGACCAGCAATCACACAACACACCCTACATCACCTTCTCACATCCTCACACGGTCCTCTTCCCGTCCATACCTTCCAATTCACACCTCGTCGCGATCATGGCCTCCGACCGACCGTGCCGCTCGACAGCAAGCTCCTCAATCCGGGATGGCATTAGCCCCTGGAGAAACTCATGAGTCAGACCAATCCGACACCACAAAGCGGCGACGTATGTCTTCGTGGAAAGCTACGAGGGCAACTGAGTTGGAAATGTGTTTGACTCAGCGGGGAACAGTACGGCAAATGGTGAGCGTTACCAATAGTATCCTGCGCCAAATGAGCAGTGTTGCGCAGAATTAGCAGTGTTGCGCAGAATTAGCAGTGTTGCGCTGAATGAGCAATGTGTGCATGTGCGTGCACAAGGGCAATGTGGCAAAGGGGCAAAAGAGCAAAGACGCCGCGAAGCACGGCACGCTCACGACCGACACGGAGAGGTATCGGATGTGAAACGATTGCAAGGAATTTGCCCCCAGGCAGGATTGAACTACCGACCTTCCGCTTACTAAGCGGGTGCTCTACCACTGAGCTATAGGGGCTCTTACGAAAGAGCAAGCCGACCGCATTTTCTTCACCTCGATAATACGAATTACAGACCAGCAATCACACAACACACCCTACATCACCTTCTCACATCCTCACACAGTCCTCTTCCCGTCCATACCTTCCAATTCACACCTCGTCGCGATCATGGCCTCCGACCGACCGTGCCGCTCGACAGCAAGCTCCTCAATCCGGGATGGCATTAGCACCTGGAGAAACTCACGCGTCAGACCAATCCGACACCACAAAGCGGCGACGTATGTCTTCGTGGAAAGCTACGAGGGCAACTGAGTTGGAAATGTGTTTGACTCAGCGGGGAACAGTACGGCAAATGGTGAGCGTTACCAACAGTATCCTGCGCCGAATGAGCAGTGTTGCGCAGAATTAGCAGTGCTGCGCTGAATGAGCAATGTGTGCATGTGCGTGCACAAGGGCAATGTGGCAAAGGGGCAAAAGAGCAAAGACGCCGCGAAGCACGGCTCGCTCACGACCGACACGGAGAGGTATCGGATGTGAAACGATTGCAAGGAATTTGCCCCCAGGCAGGATTGAACTACCGACCTTCCGCTTACTAAGCGGGTGCTCTACCACTGAGCTATAGGGGCTCTTACGAAAGAGCAAGCCGACCGCATTTTCTTCACCTCGATAATACGAATTACACACACCAACAATCACACAACACACCCTATATCACCTTTTTACATCCTCACACGGTCCTCTTCCCGTCCATACCTTCCAATTCACACCTCGTCGCGATCATGGCCTCCGACCGACCGTGCCGCTCGACAGCAAGCTCCTCAATCCGGGATGGCATTAGCACCTGGAGAAACTCACGAGTCAGACCAATCCGACACCACAAAGCGTCGACGTATGTCTTCGTGGAAAGCTACGAGGGCAACTGAGTTGGAAATGTGTTTGACTCAGCAAGGAACAGTACGGCAAATGGTGAGCGTTACCAACAGTATCCTGCGCCAAATGAGCAGTGTTGCGCAGAATTAGCAGTGTTGCGCTGAATGAGCAATGTGTGCATGTGCGTGCACAAGGGCAATGTGGCAAAGGGGCAAAAGAGCAAAGACGCCGCGAAGCACGGCTCGCTCACGACCGACACGGAGAGGTACCGGATGTGAAACGATTGCAAGGAATTTGCCCCCAGGCAGGATTGAACTACCGACCTTCCGCTTACTAAGCAGGTGCTCTACCACTGAGCTATAGGAGCTCTTACGAAAGAGCAAGCCGACCGCGTTTTCTTCACCTCGATAATACGAATTACACACACCAACAATCACACAACACACCCTATATCACCTTCTCACATCCTCACACAGTCCTCTTCCCGTCCATACCTTCCAATTCACACCTCGTCGCGATCATGGCCTCCGACCGACCGTGCCGCTCGACAGCAAGCTCGTCATTCCGGGTTGGCATTAGCACCTGGAGAAACTCACGCGTCAGACTAATCCGACACCACAAAGCGTCGACGTATGTCTTCGTGGAAAGCTACGAGGGCAACTGAGTTGGAAATGTGTTTGACTCAGCGGGGAACAGTACGGCAAATGATGAGCGTTACTAACAGTATCCTGCGCCGAATGAGCAGTGTTGCGCAGAATTAGCAGTGTTGCGCTGAATGAGCAATGTGTGCATGTGCGTGCACAAGGGCAATGTGGCAAAGGGGCAAAAGAGCAAAGACGCCGCGAAGCACGGCTCGCTCACGACCGACACGGAGAGGTATCGGATGTGAAACGATTGCAAGGAATTTGCCCCCAGGCAGGATTGAACTACCGACCTTCCGCTTACTAAGCGGGTGCTCTACCACTGAGCTATAGGGGCTCTTACGAAAGAGCAAGCCGACCGCGTTTTCTTCACCTCGATAATACGAATTACACACACCAACAATCACACAACACACCCTATATCACCTTCTCACATCCTCACACGGTCCTCTTCCCGTCCATACCTTCCAATTCACACCTCGTCGCGATCATGGCCTCCGACCGACCGTGCCGCTCGACAGCAAGCTCCTCAATCCGGGATGGCATTAGCACCTGGAGAAACTCACGAGTCAGACCAATCCGACACCACAAAGCGGCGACGTATGTCTTCGTGGAAAGCTACGAGGGCAACTGAGTTGGAAATGTGTTTGACTCAGCGGGGAACAGTACGGCAAATGGTGAGCGTTACCAACAGTATCCTGCGCCGAATGAGCAGTGTTGCGCAGAATTAGCAGTGTTGCGCTGAATGAGCAATGTGTGCATGTGCGTGCACAAGGGCAATGTGGCAAAGGGGCAAAAGAGCAAAGACGCCGCGAAGCACGGCTCGCTCACGACCGACACGGAGAGGTATCGGATGTGAAACGATTGCAAGGAATTTGCCCCCAGGCAGGATTGAACTACCGACCTTCCGCTTACTAAGCGGGTGCTCTACCACTGAGCTATAGGGGCTCTTACGAAAGAGCAAGCCGACCGCATTTTCTTCACCTCGATAATACGAATTACACACACCAACAATCACACAACACACCCTACATCACCTTTTTACATCCTCACACGGTCCTCTTCCCGTCCATACCTTCCAATTCACACCTCGTCGCGATCATGGCCTCCGACCGACCGTGCCGCTCGACAGCAAGCTCCTCAATCCGGGATGGCATTAGCACCTGGAGAAACTCACGAGTCAGACCAATCCGACACCACAAAGCGTCGACGTATGTCTTCGTGGAAAGCTACGAGGGCAACTGAGTTGGAAATGTGTTTGACTCAGCGGGGAACAGTACGGCAAATGGTGAGCGTTACCAACAGTATCCTGCGCCAAATGAGCAGTGTTGCGCAGAATTAGCAGTGTTGCGTAGAATTAGCAGTGTTGCGCTGAATGAGCAATGTGTGCATGTGCGTGCACAAGGGCAATGTGGCAAAGGGGCAAAAGAGCAAAGACGCCGCGAAGCACGGCTCGCTCACGACCGACACGGAGAGGTACCGGATGTGAAACGATTGCAAGGAATTTGCCCCCAGGCAGGATTGAACTACCGACCTTCCGCTTACTAAGCGGGTGCTCTACCACTGAGCTATAGGGGCTCTTACGAAAGAGCAAGCCGACCGCATTTTCTTCACCTCGATAATACGAATTACACACACCAACAATCACACAACACACCCTATATCACCTTTTTACATCCTCACACGGTCCTCTTTCCGTCCATACCTTCCAATTCACACCTCGTCGCGATCATGGCCTCCGACCGACCGTGCCGCTCGACAGCAAGCTCCTCAATCCGGGATGGCATTAGCACCTGGAGAAACTCACGAGTCAGACCAATCCGACACCACAAAGCGGCGACGTATGTCTTCGTGGAAAGCTACGAGGGCAACTGAGTTGGAAATGTGTTTGACTCAGCGGGGAACAGTGCGGCAAATGATGAGCGTTATCAACAGTATCCTGCGCCGAATGAGCAGTGTTGCGCAGAATTAGCAGTGCTGCGCTGAATGAGCAATGTGTGCATGTGCGTGCACAAGGGCAATGTGGCAAAGGGGCAAAAGAGCAAAGACGCCGCGAAGCACGGCTCGCTCACGACCGACACGGAGAGGTATCGGATGTGAAACGATTGCAAGGAATTTGCCCCCAGGCAGGATTGAACTACCGACCTTCCGCTTACTAAGCGGGTGCTCTACCACTGAGCTATAGGGGCTCTTAAGAAAGAGCAAGCCGACCGCGTTTTCTTCACCTCGATAATACGAATTACACACACCAACAATCACACAACACACCCTATATCACCTTTTTACATCCTCACACGGTCCTCTTCCCGTCCATACCTTCCAATTCACACCTCGTCGCGATCATGGCCTCCGACCGACCGTGCCGCTCGACAGCAAGCTCCTCAATCCGAGATGGCATTAGCACCTGGAGAAACTCACGAGTCAGACCAATCCGACACCATAAAGCGTCGACGTATGTCTTCGTGGAAAGCTACGAGGGCAACTGAGTTGGAAATGTGTTTGACTCAGCGGGGAACAGTACGGCAAATGGTGAGCGTTACCAACAGTATCCTGCGCCAAATGAGCAGTGTTGCGCAGAATTAGCAGTGTTGCGCTGAATGAGCAATGTGTGCATGTGCGTGCACAAGGGCAATGTGGCAAAGGGGCAAAAGAGCAAAGACGCCGCGAAGCACGGCTCGCTCACGACCGACACGGAGAGGTATCGGATGTGAAACGATTGCAAGGAATTTGCCCCCAGGCAGGATTGAACTACCGACCTTCCGCTTACTAAGCGGGTGCTCTACCACTGAGCTATAGGGGCTCTTACGAAAGAGCAAGCCGACCGCATTTTCTTCACCTCGATAATACGAATTACACACACCAACAATCACACAACACA